GTCAGTCTTTACTTAAAATCACAATGGACTTATCCTTAAGTTTGTCCAGTCCCTTGTGTTTAATTCCCTCATCCTTCCAGCTAAATACTCAATTATTATTAGAACTGATAAAGCAAGCTCAGCAGCTGGTGTGCTTAATGTGCAGCACAGTATGTTAGTGTGATAGCATCAAGATACACATGAAAAGAATGGGTGTTTTATCCTCCTCATTCTGCTCCAACACTTAGATAAGGGCTAACAGCTCTTCCAATGTAAGTGTGAGGACAATGAACAATGAGTCACACTGTTCATTTATGAGAAAAATGCAGAATTTTGTACTTTGGATGCTGATAATAGCTGTTTTCTCTGTGATATAGGCAAGTAAAATTAGAAGGGGACATAAACTAGCTTTTGAACAGACTAACTGGAAGGAGCAAGCAAGAGCCTCTTCGGGGAATGGTAACTAAGTAACTAACTAAATAGAATGCAATTTAAGAAGATGAGAGAGATGGAGAAGGTCTCCAGGGTTGGGAAACTGATTACCAATGTACGTAAGAAGAGCAGAAACCCAGAATAAAGCAAGAGATGTCAAGAGCATACCTATGAGAGCAAGACACGTAGGGTTATTTGGGAGCAAAATTTCTGGAGAGCCAGGCAGGCTATGATTTCTAAACAAAGAATATGCCTCATGGTGACTTTCTAATATTTCCTAGAAAGTGAGATGATGTTTACTCTCTTTTGAACTACCAAGGTTGCTACTAGTGGACTGCTCTCCTTCTCTTTTCCTGATGCAGTGGTGCCTCTCAATACAGCTACCCACCTCTTCCAAAGACAATGAATTTGCTTTTTACAAGCAGCATTGAAAAAATCACCTTTCAAGTTTTTACGGAACTACTGCCAAAGTAATATCTGCATATTTCACAATACAATAAATCTTTTTTTTTTTTTTTTGTCATAAGGTTCCACAGTGTGATGTAATGTGAGATTTATACAAAGATATTAACTCCTGAAGATTTGCTGCCTGAGTCAGTCTTCTTAGGGCACCATTTAAAAACTAAGAATGCAACTATGCTTCTAAAGTGAGAAAGGATCATGAAAATACAACTATGTATTAACAGTTTAAACTGTGGTATGACAACTCTTTGTAGTATTTTAACCCCATGCCTTTCTAAAAAATCTGTTATGCTAACTGCTTCTATGAAATGTTTACCCCAATCTGGATATGTTTGGGCAGTTCACCCAAAATGATTTACTCTGTATGCACTGACTGATAATCTGATTAGTTTTTCCCCCAAACACAATTTACTCTGTAAAGTGCCAAACATGGTTTGTCTGAGACAGATGTGGAGAAGTACTCATGTTCTTTACAAAAAGAAACAAGGACAGCTGTAAGCCCAGGCTGTCTGTCACTAATCCCAGCTCCTACACATTGGTTCCTGGCATAGTTTAGGCTGGTTAAGTTATGACTATCTCATAGGGCTGCTCTGTGGTTGGCTGAATTACCTGAAATCTCCACCATGAGGAGCGCTGCATCATTCTTTACAGGGCATCCTGAAGGTGAGGCTGTGGTTGGGTTTAGGATGTTCACAATGGTTTGTCATGTCCTTACAACATTTTTGATGTTGTATAGCAGGGAGATGACAAGGTTTTGGTAGTGGGTGGGTCACAAGGGTGGACTTTGTGAGAAAAGGGTAACCTCATGTTGTTTCCAGCCAGCTTTAGCACAAGATGCAGCTTAGCCCATTGGGGTTGGAGAATCAGTCAGAGGAGTTTGTGGTACTCCTGTTAGAATGTGTTTAAAAATGGCAATAAATGCCAGAAGGAAAAAACACCAGGGCCAGAGGAGCATGCAGTATTCTGTCATGAGCATAGTAACATCCCTGGATGAACTGTGGCCCATGGTACTACCGTGCCAGAGCAGGTACCCCAAAGATCTGCTGCCCCGTGAATAACCCATGCCAAAATTGAGCAAACAAGAAGCAGTAGAAGAAAATAGTGAGAAGGAAGGCATGACAATAAAGGCATCTCTATATCCTGACCCCAACCTCCTGCACAGCCCACTGCATCACCAATGGAACTGAGCATAACCAGCTGTGATAAGAAGGGGAGTGGAGATCAGAAGTGGGGAGGAGAAGTAACTGTCAGGAAACTGAGCCTGGAAAAGGGAGGAGAAAGGTGTTTTCCCAAAGTCTTTAAATGCCTGCCTCCTTTGTTTCCTTCCTAATACCCAAATCAGTAACTGAACATTTTTAATTAAATTCCCTATGCTGAATCTGTTTTGCCCACAACAGTACTGGTGAATGATGTCTTTCTGGGCTGGAAGCAAGCAGCTGGGTGGTGCTTGGCTGACAGCCAGTGCCAACCTGCTACAGAGATTCCTCCCCTGGATGTTGCCTTGGCATTTGAAACTAGCAACTGCTCACTTCATAGTGCTTTTCTACCACAGTCTCTACTTCAGAAGCTCAATTTTTTTGAGCTGCAAAAAGGCAATGTGCAACTTAATTCAAAATGAAACGTACACAAAAATTATTATTTCTCTCTTATTAAGATACAAAACACTCAAGAAAGTAGGGTTATGTTTATATATTTTTTATTTATGTAACAACAAAAACTGATGTAGTGCCAGAAAGCTTCAGTTTCAGGTGTCTCTAATGTTACAGTAAATCTAGATTTCTACTACCCAAACTGCACAGCACTATTTAATTTATTTTTCATTTTTTATTTTTTTGCCCTTCTCCTATTACTTTACTGAACAGCAGTTCCAAAATAACATTCTTCCGGTGGCCAGAATCCTGACTCAAAATTCTCAGTTTGAATTTCATTATGATCGCTTCACAGATCCATGTTATCCTTCCAGCACTGCCCCTTAGCTGAGGTTGGATATGAGGAAGAATTTCTTCTGGTAAGGCAGTGGCACAGGCTGCCCAGGAAGGTGGTAGAGTCATCATCCCCAGAGGTGTTCAAGAACCATGTGGATGTGGTAGGTGGGGATGGGCTGATGGCTGGACTGGGTGATCTTAGTGGTCTTTTCCAACCTTGATGACTCTATGATTAGCTGCACAGTTCTTCTTTCCCCTCTCATGATTACCTCTTCTTATACATTTATGTCATAGCGGTTAGTAAAAGAGAGAAAAAGAACAGTACTAGGACGGAATCTTTCTGGGGCCTGCACTTCCAATCAGTATTAGTTACTATTTTCTTCAATGATTATGGCAAAAGCAGCATAAAATGTGTTGATTTCAGACACTTGGGAAGCATCAACACTGCAAAGCAGGACTAGAAATATCATTTAAATGTATGATTTTATGGAGTGGAGAAACGGTCATCTAATGAAATGTAAGAGCTTAAATTGCAGTATGCTGTGCTTAACGACTTTCCTCTAAGTTGGGTACTTGTAGTTGAAAATGTATTGATCACATTTGGACCAATGGACAAAAGGAAAACAACATGTGAGTAAAGGTACTGCAAAGGTACTGACTATCTCTGCCATCTCAGAACAGCATTCTCAAGGATTTTATTGGAATTGCAGCTGAGCAGTGTCTGGCACTATTTCTTTAAGTCTGAAGGGAGTACAGACAAGGCCTAGTAAATCAGAGAGTAAAGAACACATTTTCTGAAACATTTATTTGTTTAACCTCAATCTGTGTTTTATTTTCCAATTCCCCATGCAATTACCAAACAATATACTTCAAATCTACTGAAAATCAAATGTAAGGGTATTGAATAAAATTGTTCTGATTTAATTTTAGTTTTTCTTCCCAACACAGCGTCTTTATTTTTCTAATTTTCTTCTTCCTCTGTACTTCTGCCAAGTATGGAAATCAACATGAATCTCCATGTTGTTGCTCTCCTGCTGTGCAATTTCTAAACATCAGGTTGAAGTTCATAAGCAAACTAATCTTGTGCTGCATATTGCTGTAGCCAGGCTGCTTCCATGATGTGAAATAGTACATGTACAGCAACACTGCTTTGTAACTAACACACAACACGGATTTAGAGCTTTTATTTTAAATCCAAGCTGAGCCACGTTTAAGTGGAGTTCACTGGCAGTGAAATTCCTCTGCTTGAAAAACTGTTCAATGACTGTGACTGAGCACTTATAACCAAAATTCTCCTCTAAAAAAAGCAACCTTTAAGATCTGTTTGATTTTATTCCTTTCATATTCCACAGCCTTTCTTCTCAAAGGACTAAAGAGACTTCCCTGTATCCTTGTGGTGATAAAGGCTAACCACATCCTTTGTTGTACTAAGAATGGTGTAGCCAGCAAGTCACATTTAAGTGATTTTTCTTCATTATTTTGTAAATATGAGACCACATCTTGTGCATATGTTCAGTTGTGGTCCGCCCAGTAACAGAAGGATGTGAACATAATTGAATGAAGGGCCACCATGATGACCACAAGGCAGGGACATGTCATGTTCATGGAGGTGATGAAGCCATGTTACTTCAGGCTGGGTAAAGGAAACCTAATGAGGGCTCTGCATTATTCTTGTGTAGGGTGATGGGGATCATTTCTTAGTACACAGTGAAGAAGTAGGAAGCAATTATTCTAAATCACAACAACAGAAGTTTTGTCCCAGTCTTAGAAAAGATGCTTTCATGAGAAAGTAGTCACACACTGAAGTCAATTGCACATGCAAGTTCCAAAATCTCCATTGTTGATGCCATTAAAAACTCAGCTGGACAAGGTCCTGAGCAACGTAATGTACCTTCAGATTTGTCCCTGCTTTGACCATGCTACAGACAACTTGACCAATGGAACTCCTTTCCAATCTGTCATGATTCCAGCCCAATTTGGCCTGCTTCCATGAATAACAGGATGTGGGGACCCACTCCCTGGGAAAGGGGAAGATAGTGAGATGAGCCTAAAAACAACAGTGGCAGTAAGCTAAGGGAAAAAACTAATTTACTAAATATGAGCACAGAATGCAAGATAACACAATACAGTACAATATAATTGGAACTGAAGCTAATGGATTAAATGAAGGAGAGAGAGTGTGTCCAAAACCAAAGGCCTTACTCTAATGTTGAAGGTGAGATGGCTGGAGAGCACAAAAGCACACACCGCAGAGATGAGCAGATAAAGGAGAGCCAGTTTTGTGACATCCAAACAGTTTTATTTTATACTTCCCACTGAAAAAAAAAAAAAAAAAGGAACAATGAAGTCTTCTGGAAGCTGGACTTCTCTTCTGAGAAAGGTACCTGGAACTATTGACAATCCACAAATCTGGAGCTTTAACTCTCTAATTCCCAGTGCACTACATGATGTCATGATGAGCAATATCACCCCTTATTCCACATCACAAACTATGACACAACCTAAATTAACCAGTGATTCTAGCACAGCTTGCCACTGTAACTCTTTGGAAATCTATGAAAGAGTCTGCTAGTGTTATCTGTTTTAGAAGCTGATGAAGAGATGCTTCCCATCTAATGTCTTACCTTCCTTCATGGAGGAGGGCTGTGTTTTTTTCTTTTTTTTTTTTTTTTTTTTCCCCCCTCCAGACCCACTCTTGTGACACACCAATCCATTCTATTTAAAAAGGAGACTTCACTCATGTAGACCTCTCTCTTTCTGGCACTGATATTAATCTTCTGCTCTTCCTTTCCAGATTTTAAAATCACTGAAATGCCATCTGGGGGTGACAGAGGATGCCAAGTTGTCTCTGCAGGAGAAACAACAGTAACCACCCGGGCTGCATTAAGAAGTGAATGGCTAGCACATGAAGGCAGGTTGTTATTCCCCTTTAGTTGGTGCTGGTTAAGCAGTACCTAGAATATGGTGCCTTGTTTCACCCACTCCACTTCCTGGCTGTTGAGAAACCATGGCAGGGGGGCATGAAGACGGAAAGGAGCCCAGGGCATAGTTCCTCACATATGCAAGAAGCACTCTGCTTGGTTTTGTAAAGAAAAAAACGTGGTATGATCTGATAGTGGACTACAACCATTTGAAGGGGAAGTACAAAGATGACAGAGGGGAGAGAGAAAAAAAAAAACAACAAAAAATCCACACCAAAACAACTTGGTGGATGATACTGCAAAGGGCAATAGCAGCCATGTGCAGCATGGGAAGTTCCAGTTGGGCATCATTATAAATGGCTTCACTGGTAGTGCAGGACTGGAGCTGTGAAACTGTGCAAACTCCATTCTTGGAGGTTTTCAAAACTTGGGTAGACAAACTCATTGCTGACTTTATCAGTTGTTGAAAAGTTCTGCTTCAATACAGTAGGTGAACAAGGTGACTTCCAGAGGTCCCTCCAACCAACACTTTCAGATCTCCAGATCCTAGTTCACAGATTCCTGTACTGCTTTGTTATCCATCCTGTTGCATTCCCTGATGGTGTTTCCACTTCCCACCTTTTCCCAGAAACCGAACTCCCTTTCTTCCCAGAAACAAAGCTTCTATTTCTACTTTTTTTTTTTTCTCTCTTCAGTAATTTAAACTTGTTTTTCAGCTGTGCTCTTCATCCACTGGTGATCTCTTTCTCCATTCTGACCTTTTTGACATATGTGTTTTGGGTCATCCAAGTCACACAAGCATCTCTTCTCCATGTCATCTCATTTATTAGGTGTCTGTAAACATCAAGTTGTCTGCACAGCCTCCTCTCTCTTTCCTTTGCCCTGTATTTTCATATCATTCTTTCACCGATCCTCCAGGTGCAGTGCTAATCCTCAGATCTTCTCTTCTGTCTGGCACCACTTCATCAGTAGGTAATTTCCATCAGGTACCTATTCAAGATTAGAAAATATATCCTACTGCTTCTGTATTGAATGCCTTTCACATCTGTTCTATTTTCAGTCAGATTTTCTTGCATCAAAGACACTATTTTTCTATCCCTTGCCTGTTTTTAATAATAGATTATGAAGGTTTTTTTTTTTTTATGTTGAGTCAACAACAATTTACGTGAACATGAAAATATACAGTAACTTATGAAGGTTACTAAGTTTCTGACCATTTAAAGACATGTGGTGTTTAATTTTTTTGTGAGTAAAAGATCAATTCAGATCAAATTTCCTAAAATGTAAAGAGAAAGTTGTGCCTGCTTCAACTCACTCTATAAAAAACCAAAACCAAACATTTTTAATACTCTTTCTTTGATTTTATAGTCACTGTACTTTCCCCATCATCCACTACTTCCATTGTTAAAGCTCAGCAGTTAATTGTCCATTAGCTGCAATTAAAAGCACAATGTTTCAGCTACATGCTGTCTTCTTTACTTAGCTCCCCCTGAGCAGACCGTAAACTAAAAACTGCAACAAAGCACAGATGACACAGACTTAAACCAAGCCACTTACCACCAGCCATTGAAACCTCCTATCTGCTTTGAAATTAGATGGGAAACAGAGAGCATGCTGTAAGTTTTAATGTTAGTTGATGTTCTCTGAATCAAGGATTTCTGGACTTTCAGTTTTGGAGGAGGTGGTTCAGTGGTAGTTCAAATAGAGATAAAGCATCTAAAAATAGAGTCCTCTAATTATTATTCCTATTTGCCACGTAATTTTATGTCTCTTGTCACTATATTTATATTCTGCTGACAAAGAAACAAAATCACTTCTGATAGGTTATTGGCTACATCAGGTAAAGTGTTCACAGGTAGGCTAATAGTCGCATATAGAAAGAAGAGTTGAACTCACCCAAACTGGTGAAGGAACTCTCCTTCTTAGGAAATAGCATAAGTCTAAGAAAACTTCTCACTTTAGTGGCTGGCTCTTATATCAGCCCAGGGTGGTTCCATCGTGGGTCCTCCCTTTCTGGTCAGGTGGGAAGCACAGGAGCAAACGATGTGTCTGTGCTCCCTGGGCCAACCACACCCTTTCACTGGGTGCTCAATTACCACTTCATGCCATGACCTAACTGTTGCTCTACGTTGACGTTAATATGCAATATTTTGCAATATTTTGGAGTAGCACTAGAATAGGGTGTCACAGCATGGAGACTGTTTAGTAGTAATGCTGAAACAATGAGGAAGTGCAAAGAAGAGTTTCAGCTGATGATCGGATATAGTATAGCTGAAGAATAACAATGTGTTTTAGTGCTTGTTTCTTTAGCTTTGTTTTTATTACATCACTTTCTTTGGATTTTCCAATGCTTGCATTAATTCATATTTAGTCTGCTTTTTTGTTTGTTAGTAGGTGCAATGCTATACAAACAGTGATACCACCTCATCTAGTGCTCCGTGCCTGTCCCAACAGTTGGGTACCATAAGGCCTGTTAAGAATATGCTGCAATAAAAGCAGCCATTTTCTTCCTACTGTGACTTCCTGTTATTGCCTCAGCACAATTTTATGCACTAATTTTCTGTAAATTTTAGTTTTTGAAACATGCAGACATCACTCAGCCACAAAAAGTAAGATAATATCCTACAACAGAGCGTCCACAGGCTCCTCAGAGGCTCCTCTTAGGTCCTCTCTCTTTTATCATAATGATTTGGACAAAAAAAAAAAACAAAAAAAAAAACCTAAACATAAAAAGAACAAAGCAACACATGCAGGTTATCAGGGCTTTGACAGAAGTTTTTATCTGACCTTTTGTGGACTTGAAGGGATCTAAATTAGTTCTGTAAGTAACGAACAATCCAAATATAGAGATTTTTTAATGAATGAGTAACTTGGAGTGAAAGAGAAACATTTTATTCAGGTTATAGTTGAATTTTTATTTTATTTTATTTTATTATGTCAGGTATATTTTCTTGTGGGAAAGAAAATGATACTTGATGAGGGTAAAAAAAAAAACAAACCACAATCAACAAAAAACAGAACCTTTTCCTCTCATGGCCAGAGTAAAGGCAAGATTTGCAGTCACATTTCTATCAGAATCAGAAAGAGAATAAACTAAAGGTAAGAACAGTTCAGTTATTTTCCATGTTCTGGGTGATTACAAACAGATTATAAAGTTTATGGTGGATTATCCATTCCTTTTTAGCTAGTCTAACAGGGTGCAACAAATGAATTTAGTGAGCAGCAGGAAGTAGGAATTATCAGTCTGTAATGTGTGGCAATTAACAAATTAATATATGTAATCAGATCAGCAACTATCTTTATCTACAGGTATTAATGACAGCTACAAATAAAATGCTATCCAGTGCCCCAAATTAATGCCCTCTAAAGGTAGCTTTACAATCGTATCATCTTCTAAATAAGAATGGTAACAGGCACTAATAGCTGCTATAGAGAATAGACACTGAAGAGAGCTTTTGCATGTTAACAATGACATAGAATACTGCATATTTAAGTATCTGCCTCTAAATTTGCCCAGAAAGTCTCAAAAATAATCCAGAAACCAGTAGACTTCTTCAGGATGTTTTACGAGTTTCTATGACTCATTAAAAGGTTGGCTGTACTAAAAAGAGAAATACCAGAAATCCAGGACCAAGCTATAAATCTGTATCTTTCAAGAGTTAAAAGCTCACTTAAAATGAGTATTTGAAACATTTTAAATGGTTCCTCACCAAACATAATCAGTATTACAGATTATTGGAAGGGACCTTGAGAGATCACTGAGTCCAACCACTTGCTAAAGCTTGCTCCCTACAATAGGTCACACAGGTAGGCATCCAGACTGGTCTTGAATATCTCTGCAGAACAAAAGCAACCTGTTCCAGTATTCCATCATCCTTACTGTAAAGCCTCAGGCTCCATCTCAGGGAATCAGACTGTGTCTAAGTGTTCTGAGGAGCATGAATTCAGCTGCTATGGGATTTGGAGTGCAGTTGCCAGCATGCTTCTGGTCTGTACCTGCAAGCTGTCTCCCAAGCAATCCCCAGGCACAGGCTAGGTGTTAGAGCATCCCACAGCCCATTACTGCCAGAGGATTTGCATTCAGGCACCCTCCTCTGGAGGCTGTGTTTGTTTACTGCTCCACCAGTGAGGCAGCCTGTGCCAGTTGGCCTCCACGCCTGGGAACTGCTTAATTTGCTACCAGAGAAAGTCATGTCCCTTCCCCACCAGGAACCGCTGAGGGAGAGCAGTAGGCTTCAGGAGGATAAATACCAAATCTGTAAAGCTTCAGTCAGCTGGAATCACTCTTGACAAGTTCATAAAGATAGTGCTTTTTGCATTCTTTTTACAGACTGCATTCCCATTTCTTTAATCCCACTGCAACACAGGCTGCACAGTGTTCAGCTAAAACCTGAATGCAGTATGAGGTGTAACAGGCTTTTATTCTGTATCTTGATTAATCCCATGAAGAATGTCCGGTGTTATGTTTCAAGGCAGCATACATCAATATCCCATATTTTAAGTCACTTGAAATCATTACCCACCACTTCCAGCACTGTCCTGCAAATCACGAGAGCACGTTCATTGAACATAGAATGGTTTGGGTTGGAAGGGACATTAAAGCCCACCTAGACCCAATGCCCTGTTGTGGGCAGGGCTGCCTCCCACCAGCTCAGCTGTCCAGGGCCACATCCAACCCTGGCCTTGAGTGCCTTCAGGGATGGGGCACCACAGCTTTTCTGGGCAGCTGTGCCAGTGCCTCACCACCCTCTGAGTGAAGAATTTCTTCTAATCTAAATTTCATCCAACACAATGCATTTAACATGCTTCTCTGGAGGTAAGGCTGCAGTAAGGCAATGCCCCAAAGCAGACCACCCAGTAGTTTACTGTTAAGGCAGCCTTAGATGTGTGCAGACTTTAAGAGCATCTGCAGCTGAAGAGAGACAAAATGGAAGGCCCAATGCCACCTGACTCCAGACTCCATGTTCTAGCCATTGGGCTGTCATACAGAACGTACAGCACTGACTTGGTAAGGAAGTATACTTCGGCAAGGTATACTTGCTAGTAAGCACTGACTGTCAGACAAGTCCAGATTCTTACAAGGCAGTCTTGCAATAAATCTGTAAGTCCTAATCAGAATGAGTTTTCAGACAAATCTATGTATTACCAGTATATTTCCAACAGTTTTAAGTGAATAATTCTTTGGGACAATTATTCTAACTCTGTCTGGTATCTATACTCTGCTTTGGATTCTGCTCTTCAGACCCCGTCTCACAAAATTTAGTTGCCCTATGATGATATTATGGATGCTTACCCTGCCTGCACGTTGACTCTTAGTATGATTCTTGCCTGGGAAGAGTTGTGTGCCTCTCCAAAAAGGGAACCTGGGGTTGAGAGCCGGACTGGCTGGCACCTGAGCTCCCACTCCTCCAGGCCATACAGATGCAATTAGAGCCATTTGGATCTTTATATTCAAACACGGATTTCAAAGACATTACAAAGTACTACCTTATTTCCCCATGGGTAGCATGGGGTGTAGCAGAGCTTTTCTACCTTGCAGCGGTTGGGAAAGTAACACTCACATTTTGGAGTCGCTCAGACCATACACACCAGAACATGCAACCAAAGAGATGAAATGTGCTTGGCAGTGCAGACAGGGCAGAAAGAGGGAGTCAGTTATGGATCATTGACTCTCGGGACAGACATACCCTGCCCTACATCCCGAAAGCTTTATGAACACCAGCTGAGCATATAGCCTGGGGCAAGGTGCTCTCAGCTCTGCAGCACAGGAGCGGAGCGGGACAGGAGCCAGCAGTGGGCTGGGTGCCAGCTGAGTCCCCCAGTGCCAGGGGAATTCTCAGCTGGGAAAGCCTGGCTGCCTGCCGGCCTTCTTCCTCTGCGGCTATATATATACATGCATGTATGTATAGCAGAACTTTTAAAGGAATAATTATCTTCCATATGTCTTCTGGTTTGACTAAGATTTTTATTTTTTATCTGGCCTAGTACAGAATAAACCTGCAGCTGCCTGATCTGTGATTACCCTCAGCTTTCATACAGACCAGATTTTTAAGCCACCATGTGGACAAAAATAATCTCTCTTCTCAGAAAAATGCAGCATAAATATCATGGTTGGAGTACATACACGTGAGAATATATACAGATAGGCACTCCAAAGTTTGGCAATAACAGAAAATAGCTTTCTGTATGCAGCACAGAAACAGGTGGCTGAAGATATCCCCTCCCAAAAGCAGAAAGGGGGAATACCTAAATGGATTTCAAGATAAAATTGAGTGTTCATTCCTTTCTCTGTGGAAAAACAAAACAAGACCAACCCATTTTACTTGTTACCAGGTGTTTCTCACTTAATTCATTTCATTAACTTCTTATAACTTGTTCAGCCAGCTCTGCAGACAATTGATTTTTATTACTATATGCTTCAGTGCCTTTCTATGCTAGATTTTTCCATTTACAACATGGCTCTACAAATCTCTTTAAAATTGTATTGCCTTGTTTCTCTTTTCAGAGCTTAGACTGTCTTTTCAATCAACCTTATTTATTTAGCACAGTCTTCTACAGGGCAAATATAACATAATATCAGACATTTACATGTATGGTAGCTGCTTTCAGAGGTTTGATTTCGAAGTAATCATTAGGATACTGCTGCTGGTGAAAATTGCTGACAAATCAGAAAAAAAGCATGATTATGATACTGTAACTGATAGATATGAGATCCGAGACAATATTTGGAATGTACTTTCTAATGACAAATCAGCTTTTAACATATACAACCCAGGATACCATGTGAAAGTACTAAAAGTTGTTAATCAGATGATTTTCACCCTTTATTATACAGCTGGAGTTTACACTGATACCTGATGTTAAGACTGCCCAACTTTTCCCATTATAAAGACATTTTCAATCTCATCGCCAACACAGTAGGTTGACCTTTTCTGGGATTTATGTCATTTTGAGGTTTATTTCAAAGAAAAAAATATGAGAGTTTGGTTTTCAGACAAAACGTGTTTGTGATTTTCAAGAATGACCCAGTGAGGTAACAGCTACTTACTTTGTATGGACTCTCAGTTGCTTCACTTAAATAAAATGTCAGTTACCTTTGTCTCTTGAAATAAGAACTTGAGAGCTAGCAGTACCCTTGATGAGGGCCCACAGAAAAGCATCCATAGCTGGCCAAACTACGAGCCCCAGAAAAATCAGAAAATGCTCACTGATATAAATGGTTGGATATTACAGTTTTGTAGCTTTCTTCTTTGAAGATTCCATATTTACTCCTGACAAATTGCCAGGAGTGAAGAAAAAGATCATTGGAGAATGCATACGTGGACCAAACAGCTAAAATGATGTGGACCAATGCAATGGGGAACGTGAAACTGAAGAAGGAAATACAAGGAAATACAAGCTTGGCAAAGCAAAAAAAATGCTAGTGGGCACTGAAAAAAAAAAGAAGAAATACACATATATGTTAATAAAATAAGGATGAAGTTCTGTGCTGATGACTAAGAGCCCCAGCAGTCAACTCTTCTGAAATATCAGCATGCAGCTGTTCTCACCTTCCCCAGGAAAAGTCAGCATCAGGTTTCCATGCAGCTCACTACATAACTAGAGCCTCCATCCAGATACATGCCATTACAAAATCATTTGCTCTTCTCATAAAAGTGATATTACTCAGTTCACGTTACACAGGAAAAAATTAAGGCAACAACTCTAAAACACTTGTAAAAGAAATATGTTTTAAATTACTGACATTGCTAAAAACATTATTGCAGAGTGCTTGTTTCCTAAGACTTACGTATGAAATTATTTGGTTTTTAATTAGGAAGATTTTATACTTTTTTCTCTCCTCTTTCCTTCTCACTGAATTTGTGATCAGGCTTGGGTTTTAACTCTGCATTTGCCACCATTTTTTTGTTTTGCTTTTGAAAACTCACAATTTCCATCTGCCTCTGCTGTCTACAGCAGTTGTAAAACAGACTTAAATGGATGTGACTTACTACTAACATACAGACCTTTCTGCATATACATTAGCAACTACATTTTGGTCCAGCTCAGCAGCTGCTGAATGTAGCAAAGACTGCAATTAGCATCAGTAAAGGACAATCCTCAGTATCTGCCTTTGATGAAACACAGCTTGGCATTCGCACTTCTCTTCTCTTGTACTGACAACTCGCACAACCCCAACGTTTTATGGTCATCTGTCACCTAACTAACACTTCATTAAGTAGAACACCTACAGTGATTTTAACTACAGCCAAGGTGATTTACTCACTAATGATTTACATTAGGCCAGCAGCTATAATCTTGTTGCCTCTGTCCTACTGTTAAGATGGAAAATAGATGAATAATTGATTTATTTTCCTTATTTAAATGAGGAAGGATATTAAATTCTTGTTATGATGTTGACTGATGTATTTTCAGGCTGATATGTTCTTCAAATTCTTATACCTATAATTATAGAGAATAATTCATTCATTAATAGCAGCTCCTTTATGGGTTTAGTTCAAGGTGCCAGAAAGGGATCCAAAAGCTTAATGCGAGGTTGGACTCTGAAACAAATAAAAAGCTATGTGATTATTATTTGCATTTCAACAAAATAGTTAAAAGAGAGGAAAAAGAGTTATGTCAGGAAAAACAACAACAGCAAGAAACCTATTGCACAGGCAAACAAAAGCATAAAAATAATGTAACTATTAAAAAATATTAATAATTCAGGCTAGTGTTAGAAGCTTGGTTGTGATGATAGGTCTAGCTATGTCTCTGTGTACAGAACTGCTGGGCAGCATTCACCAAGTCTTTGGATGCTTGAATCATAGAATCACTTAAGTTAGAAAAGACCACCAAGATCAAGTCCAGCCATCCACCCAATACTACAGGTTCACTGCTAAACCATGTCCCTTAGCACCGTGTCCTCAAATACCTCCAGGGATGGTGACACTGCCAACCTTCCTGGGCAGCCTGTTCCAATGCCTAACCATCCTTTCTGTAAAGAAATTCAACCTAGTATCCAATCCCCAATGGAATAATGAGTGCTATTAAAAGGAATTCTTCTGAGCATCTCAGTATCTGCAGTTTCCTATTTCTGTTGCTCTACTCTTTGACTCTTCATTTGAATCTATTTTTCTCATTATTTTTTTCCTTAGTAATAATAAGTTAGTTTCTTCCTGGATCATTTTTCTGTAGCTTGTCCTTTACTATTAAAATAATATTTCAGCTTAGTTGTAGCTCACTTTTTTCTCATATAGAATTTACTCTATATCTCTGACCATCCTTCTTGCCCTTCCCAAACTTTCTCCAGACCTTTGTCTTGTTTAAGACAGTAAGGAAGGCTAGGCCAGAACTGTACAACATATTACACATGTGATAAAATCAGAGATTTACATAATGGCAGAGTGACATTTTCTCTTCTTTTCATTATTCTCTTAATGACTCCTAACATTTGATTTAGTCTTTCAATCACTATTGAGCACTGAGTGATGTTTCTGTGTGACTATCTATCATAACTCCCAACTCTCACTCCAGTCAGCTCAGAGCTCATGTAAGTGAAATTAGGAGTTCTTCTTTACATTATGCACATCACTGTTCAATTACCTGCACCAAATTTCAGCTGTCATTTTATTGCTCTGTCACTAAATTTTACTACCCTGAATAAATTATATAATCAAACATGATTACCTCATTGCTATTGTGCTTTCCAGTCCTTTACGAATATGTTGAACAGCAAAGGTCCTAACACAAATCTTATGGAACCTTGTCTGTCACTTTCCACTGCGAATACAAACCATTTAGTCTTCCAACTATCTAACCATACAAGGATCTTCCCTTTTATGAGGTGGTGCTGAGTTTTCCTTGCTGGACTGGGTTATAAAAATCCAACAGTATGTTTTTTAAATTTTGGATTCAAGTTTCAGTGTGTGTGTATTCATAAGTTTGCTTGCCAAAGTGGTGAGTTTCTTAGCATAATTAGGTTATGATTTAAAAAAAAAAAATAATAAAAAATACATATATATATAGCATTATATCACCACTAAGAAGGCTTACTTCTTCTTTCATCTTCTTTGAATTGTTCTGTTATTGTTTTGTTATTATAGTCTTCCATGGATTATCTTTCTCCAGTCAAGCTTCCTATATCTATACATTGTCACTTCTTTCATTTAGGGCAAGACTCACTTCCCTCATGCAGGATCTTACATTTCAAGAACTTGTATCTGACATGATGTCTTCGTTAACTGACAGTCTGCCTCCACTTCCTCTCTGACCGGTTTCTTTCTGACTGATGTATCAGAAATCCCATAACTGTGTAAGGTTTCATTTCAAACTATCTTTTTCTGCACCTACTGGCTTTCTCACTACTTTTAATTTAAAAGCTCACTCATGATTTTGGGATTAAAGTGCCCAAAGCCTGCTTTCCTTAGAAGAGGTCCACCCCTCTCACACAGCTTGAGTATACTGAGGCAGATTCCCAATACTTGATAAAAGTGACTCCCTGATTTTTTGCACCTACAATATATGGCTGAGGAGATGATGTTTGTGTTTGGCATCAGAATTATTATGCTTGCAAAAAACACAACAATATATACACTCTAAAATTGGGTTGGTACCATATCTCAATTGTGGTTCCCTCCTTCCCACAAGGATGTCAGCATGACCAAGGGTCACAAGCTGTAGGGAGAGGAAAAATCAATGACAGAAGGGTAGGGAGGGAATTTCTGAGTGAAAACAGCCATCAGATGACTCTGCAGTGTGCATTTACTACATCCTGAGTACTCTGTAAGCCACAGTGCACCTGCACATGAATTAACACCATAAAAATGCAGAAGAGTTAAGTCCCATATATTGTTTGTAATCACAAGTTTTGAAAATTACTAGGTTATGAATGTGAACATTCAGCTAAATATACTGACTTACAAAATGTCAGGCTTAGGTTTAAAACAAGAATACTATTATCAGATTTTTATAATAAAAATAAAACATTTCTGCTTTTTTAGGAAATATTATTGCTTACTTTCCTCATTTTACCTTCCCCTGCAAGCACATACATACTTCCTTTTTTTTTTTTTTCCCTCACTGTGGGTTCATTTATATTAATAAATACCATACGTGACAGTGTGACACTGTCATAAATAAGTAAGAAAAATATATGTCTGTGAAACTCTAAAAATCCTTTAGCTACCTGTCTACATAAATTATGAATAAGCACTGTTTGCACGCTGCAGCTACGATCTCCCCACTTGCTCACTGATGCTGGAAAATATTTGTTTTCTAATTTGTTGGGATCAAAATGTTTATTCTGAATTCCTATTTCAGAGCAACTCCCACAAATAGTGCTGCCAAATCTGGAAGTTTGCTTCTACTGAAAAAATTTTTGGACAATTCCTGTGCACTTGAGTTGTCAAGCTTCTGCTGTCTACACAGCATCTGGGAGCTCAATAATGTGTCCAAACGCAAGTCTTCTATTAAAAAAGAAAGAAAGAAAGAAGAAAGAGGAGGAGATAAAAACAAAAGGCAACATAAAATAGAAAACATCAACTTCAGCCTATCATAAGACATCACGACAAGGCAGCACAGAAACAGGAAATTAAATGCCAAATACACAGCAAAGCATCAGTGAACCTAGTAGGTTATGAAGACTCCTCTATTATTACTTGAACACAGAAAGCAAAATTGCAGTGACAAAAAGATTTAAATTACACAGTGCGTGAACAAAAGCCACACTGATCGTGTAATTACAAAACAATAATAATTCCACGCACAAAGAAAATATACAGTAAAAGCTTAGAGGCTGGAATTTCTGCTAGTACAGATAACACAACTAATGTCACCATAAAAAGCATGAAAGTTAATACAATAAACTTTTAGTAAGTAACTTTAAGCTTAATCAAAAGGAAAACAGAACCCAAACTCTGTACTATCTAGTGTAGACAATACACTTTGGCATCTCTGCAGCAGAGCTGCTGGAAGTCCAGAAGAACTGGAATGTCTCCCAGGCACGTTACACCAACAGCCAGTGGAGTACGTGCACCACAAGATGGAAGCAATGAATGCAACAGAAATGGCACACCTCTAGTCATGAATCCTTGGACTCACTTGGCAATAACTGAACATTTAGAAAAGCTGGTCAAGTAAATTGTGATGTCTTGCTCAGTTTCAAAAGCCTAACAAGCCTTAAAAACTCAGTGTAGGACCCAACATAGATAACTTCTTTGTAGGGACACACAGCTATCAATTATATCTCCAACATTGGTAAGGAACTGTTTTTGTCTTTTAGACAATTGGTTTGGGTTAACAGCAGGTGAAAGTCATAAAAATAAACATATCTAAGTTTAGCTGCATAAATTAAGAGGCTGCTAGATTTTATGTTCTTACTGGATCTCAGTCACAGAATACACTGCGATTTCAGCTGTCATGCAGTTCTACCACCTCAGTACTGCCATATACCATATCTCAGTATTCTAATTTATTTTCTCTCAAAATACTGAACTGTGCATGCAGCTTTGCAGCCAACAATGAGAATTTCATGGATATTATTCAAGTGGATAAAGTATTTTCAGTTACCTCCTTAATCATCATTACTTTTTTAATGAGTATGAACATTAGATGCGTACCAAGTATTAATTTTTTATCAAAATATTTTCCACTGGAATAGCACTTTCAGAAGCAAGTTGGCAGGGCTGGAAATCCAAGTCCATTATCCAAGCAAAAGCAAACCAAGAAAGAGTAGGAGGCCTCTGTCTTTGATAAATGAACAGAGCATCTCAGCGAAGCTGAAAACATTAATCTTTCTTTGGGAATTAATATATTACAATTGAAAAACTGGTTCTTTAGTGAAATTCCTCATACAAAATGTATACTGCAGTTCTTGTAATGCATAATTTCAGCAATTACCTACAGGCCAAATATACACCATGTCTTTCTATTTCTTTTTGCTGTTTTATCAGTGTGAAAGAAGACTTAATGGTATTTCCACATTACTGCAAGTTCTAGATCAAACTACGTCCTATAAGCATAAAATTTGTCTTTTTGATGCAGCTTATTTCATTTTGGTAACGCATATAAAGTCCTAACCGCATCCACTGCTTTGTGTCTGCAGTAGGGAAATGTGCTGGTATAGCTATCAAAAAGCCCTTGTGTGGAGGCCTGGCTATCCTGGCTATGTACAATATTGTGCTGGCCTTTATTTCTGTCACCTCTGGCTGAGCAACTAGTATTTCTGTCTCTGAGATTGTTGTGAAGCACTGTCTTGCTGCTGCTGCTGCTGCTGCTTGGAAAATATGGGCAGAGATTTGTTACATAAACCAGTTATTTAAAAAGAAAAAAAAAATCTTTATAAAGCATATCAAAACACTTTCAAAAGGATACTTTTGATTGAAATTTTCATTGAGAGATTAATGGACTCGTGCAAATTTAAAATTTGTGCCAGAGAGAAAACTTGGTGTCACTGCTAAGTACGATATTTCTTAATACAGCCAGTAATTTTCCATCTCCTCTGAAAAAGAACAGCTGAAACATGATCTGACAAATACAAATGATCTATTCAAATTAACCAAATCCAAACTGAAGTTAGGCAGCATGCAAATTTTAGCCCAAACAGTTCAAGTACATAAGCAACTGGAGACAGCATGTTACAATGGTAAAGGACCTGACTGCTGTCACACTAAAACAGCACTCTACCTCATAAATAGCATTACTGAGATGTTTCACCAGATTTCACATTTGCCTTAAAATTTAGTAAAACCTAAAATTCAATTTGTTCTGGGGCCTTGTGTCAACCTCATGCTTTTTGTAGCCTTTGTATTCTTCATCTGTAGTTAAAAAAGCAAGCATAATTTTTGTGTGTGTGTGTGTGTGTGTAATTTTAGGTCTGACACTAGCTGCTTTCCTTCCTAGAAATTAGCAACAGCAGATAAAATTCATGATGGAAGGAGTTAAAGGCCAATCATCTGACTAGCACTCTCCCTGTATTACATTACAGATTCCCTCCGGGGAACAGACCCATGTTTCCTTTGCATGGAAAGCAGAGCGTGACTAATGGTCTGCAAGGCTCTCACCTGAAAAGGCACTGGCTTGTAACACTAAGGCACACCCAAAACCTGAAAAGTTCTGTGCAGCACCTCCAGAATAATGCAACAGACTTTAAAGAGAAACTGCTGGGGGTTATTTTATTCTTTACAAAATGTAACATTTTAAAAATACATTGAAATACCAGCATTTCTTCAAACAGATTCACTCAACACGAAGAGCAACAGTTTCAGTTATGCATTAAGTTCCTTTCTCCCAGGAGCTGCAAAGCGCAGCTGGAAAATACGTCAATCATATAGACTAAGAAAGTAAATCACACAGATTAAATAGCTTCAGTAGACTGAAAATGGCTGTAAACTCAAAGACAGTATTTTAGACATCTGAGTTAGCACTTCCTTATTAATAAAGTTATTTTTATATGCCCTTCAACATCTGTTCCATATATTCTTCATAAAAGTGTTACTTTTCTCTTTCAACACCAGGGGCTCTTTGAAGGTCTGAAGCAAATTCTGACGTATCTTCAGCTGTTATGCAAAGCTAATTTTGCAAGGAATGAAAGTGATGCTGAACACTGATAAGCACCAACATACCACATAAATTTGGGACACACTTTTGTGTGTACAGGCTTTCGTGGTACAAAATTAACCCTGATTGTATGTACTAATTCTGAACACTAAAATACATGCAGGGAACAGTAATGCTGAAAAGCCAATATAGAAACTTGCCTTTTGCATTAGATTTGAAAAATGACATACAATTTTTGCTAATATCAGTCCAAACAGAAGGTGCTGCATATACTGTCCTGCTTTCTTTCATGTGAAGTACATTTCAGTTCCATGCAAAACTGCGACAGAACTCATGATTCAAAGTGCTTAATCCTAGTGCAGAGCTCACGTAAAATACAGATAATCCTACAGCTAAGTTAGAACAGAAAAAAAAACTAGTAGTTGGAATAATGAGCTTGTGCAAAGGGTTTTTAAGATAGCAATTCAGTTGGGTTTCCTTGTTTGAGAATCACGTCTTAGGGTCCAATTGAAATCTTGTGAACAGATGCTGCCTTATCCCATGGAATTGTAGGCTGTATTTAACTGCTGAAACGACCAACAACTGTAGTAATGTTCAGCATAGAGCAAGCCTACCACAAGAGGCCACTGCTGCTCTTCGCGTTTTTTCGACGTGCAGCTGGGCTCCTAGCAAGCAGACAGCTGCAAGGAGCCCCAGGCAAAAGTCACAGCAGTTGCAACCCTCCTTTTCCTTATTTATGCATCAATGCTGCACTTCTGCAGAAAAAAATTGAATTCAGTATTTTTTTTTTTTTTTTTTAACTGGCAGATAGAAGAAGAAATTTTCTAAATGCACTTATCGATTCAGCCTTCAGGAAGAAATGAAAACTCGCATTCCAAAATGCTGATTTCTCTCCTTGATATGATTAAATTGTGTAGCTAAAGGCAAGTATTCAGATATAATTTAATGAGATATTTGAAAAGCATTTAATTAATCGCTGACAAAAAACAGCTCCTTATGTTTCCAACAGAAGATGATAAAAGAATTATGAAAGCGTTATCAATATTTGATGATGAAAAAAAAACCCAGTAAATAAAATTCTGTTGCTACAGTTTACAGGAACCAGTACCTTGCCTACTATTTAATTTTGATCAATGACTTGAAGTACGTATTTAATTCTATTTCCAGAGAAATACTGAAATACAGAAAATGATATAAAAGCAGTAAGCAATGAAGACAGGGACATTGAACTTGCTTGATCAACAAGGCTCGTGCAATATTAAATGCATTTTAATAGAGGACACTGAAACACTACACGGGCTGAAGTAAAGAAACTGGCCGTATGTTGGCCACGTGGGGTGGGGGGAGGAAAAGAGGGATATCCTAGAATGTAGCAAGAAGAATTTGAGCATCTCAACAGCTGAGCAACTGAACGGCCTTGGGCACCTCCAGGGATGAGGCATCGCAGCTTCCCTGGGCAGCAGTATCAGCACCCCACAGCCCTCTGAACGAAAACACACCTATTTTGAGTACTTGAAATTAAAAGGTGCAGAAGGAAAATCTAACTCTGAAAGACTTAGGATTTGAAAGAGGCCACGCTGTTCAGATAATGAAAAAAGCTTAATGAAAGCTTTATGAACTCTAACAGGGAACGCAGCAGTTCCATTGGAAGCAGTGAAAGCCACCAAGAGCTAGAACGAGATACCAGCGAAGCATCTCCTCCACACGCCCACCACGCCCACCCTCCACAAGCCGAACCCCCCTCAGACCCCAACCGCTACCCCCTCTACGCATGCGCCCCCTCCCACCGCACTCTTTGCTCCTCGCGCATGCGCGTCTAGCTCCTTTTTCCCTCCCTCAGCGCGCCTGCGCCGCTCGGCCTCGCCGTGAGTGCGCTCCTTCTCTTTCCTCCGTTTCCCACCGCAGCACATCCCCAGCGGGCCCGTGTGCGCCTGCGCCGCCCGCCCGCCTCGTGTGCTCCCAAGGCGCCGAGTCCCCACGGTCGGCGCTCAGGGTCGGGTCCGTTCTTCTCTTCCCCGCCCCCCTCTTCCTCCTCCTTCCGCCAAACGTCGCTGCGCGTGGCTCTGTGTGTGCGTGTCGTGTGCGCGTGTGTGCGTGCGCGCTGGGGGGGGGGCCGGGGGGAGGGAGGGAGGGGGCCGCCATGCCGAGGGGGCGGCCTCCCAGCGCCAGCGGGGACAGCGGCACGGCCGGCGCCCGGGCAGGTAAATGGCGCGGGTGGGAAGAGCCGGGCGCGGCCGAGAGCGGCGAGGAGAGGGGAAACCTCCGCGGGTTGCGCATATAGTCCCCGGATATGGCGAGGGGGGGAAGGCCGGGTCTATTGTGCGGGTGTATGGGCGAGAGGGGAGGGGAAGGAGGCAGCGCGGCCCGGCCCTGCGGAATGATACGGAGGCGGCGGAGCCGTGGCCTGGCGCCGGGCGGGAGGCAGGGCCTGGGTGCGGGCCTCGCACTGCCTGCCCGCCGGCCGGGAGGAGCGGGCCAGGGCGGGGGGAGCCGTCCGTGCTTGGCGTGCGTGGGGAGAGCTGAGGGAGGGCTGCAGGCGGCTTCATTCCCGAAAGGAGGCTTTTTTTTTTTTTTTTTTTTTTTTTTTTTTTTTTTTTTTTTAGGCTTTAAAATTCTTCTTTGTGAGCTCATGTATTAAAGCAGACCTGCTGTGTTCCCAACCGACTACGAGTTTGTCTCACGCTTTCCGTCGTTTCTTGCTTGTTTGATTGCCGTGTGGACGCCCCGGGGCAGGCTCGCTGTGGTGGCTGTGCTGACAGCGCCTCAGGGCTGAGAGCTGGGATTCGGTGGGGCCTTTGTGTGGTGCATCCTGCCCGCGTTACGGGGCACGGCCCCGCGCTGTGAATCGGCCCCGCAGGCTGCTGGCAGTTGTGAGCTCCTGCACTGATGGCATGGGCTGTGGATGGGGGAGGATTGAGTCTGAGGCAACCCACCAGCACCTGGAGGCTGTACTCTGCTCGTAATTGGGCCATGATGTTAGACTTCTCCAATATTAAGATGTATGCTTATAAGGGGTTGCCAGATTGATGGCTAGTCTAGTCATACGTTGTATTTTCAATGTTTTAAACAGAAGAAACCTGCTAGCTTATTAATGAAATTATGTCATGGGGTCGTTTTCAGGTGTCGGTTCAGAATTACAGGGTCTGGGGCTCCCACAGGGATTCGGAAACATGCAGACTGCAGTTGCAAGGACTCTGCCCCACATAAGCAAATATTCTGGGTTCTGTAGACTTCAGCAGTCTGCAAGAATCAGTAATGTCAGTGTTGTCAACTGTAGTATGTTCTCTGCCTTAATGTTTGGCTGAGAAAAAGGCTTAAATGAAGAAACTGGCTAAACGGGACAGCTGGAATTGAGGTAAATGATATTCCCAGGACAGTTGGTTCCTTGTCCCACTCAGGAACAGGCTAACAAACTTGGAGAACTGATTGTGAGTCCCACAGTCTTCCACTTGAGTGGGAAAAATTTTATTAGGAAAACAGCTGTTTGCAAAATAGATGCTATGTCTTTTGCTTAGGAAACTACATGTGTAGGTTTTCTTCCTTGTCAGTGTTGCCCAAACAGTTCTTATCCTGGTACTCGAGTGTCTTTCCCGAAAGAGAGAAACTGATCTCTGTAGTTGTGCAGTCTGTACGTGTATGGCAGTATGGCTTCGTTTGCAAGGAAGTGAAGGTGGATCAGTCATGCTTCGTTGTACAACTTCTCTAATTACTTCGAGTTCATGGGTGTCAAAGATTAGCCAAGCTCTTTGTTCCAGGAAAATTAGAGGTGATAAATGGAAATCTGAACTATATGCAGAGATAATAATAAGTACCAAATCTAAGCTTATGCATGAGGGCATGTGTTGGGTTTTTGCTGGAAAAAGACAGCCTTAGATTGTCCTGGTGTTCTTTAGTTCCTCACTATGTTTGTAATGAATCTGTGCCTTTTCCCCCAGTAATTGAAGCAGTTAAATAACCTGCGTTTAAGTTCTGTCTGTGTCTTAACCTAACTACCATGTTCTGCCTTTCTCTGTATCTTTCTGGTGCTCATTATTTTGTTCCCTGCTGCAATTGCACTCACACCTTCATACCTCATTCATTCCTATGCGTTAAGTGTTTTAAAGAATGATTAGATTTCCATTTCAAACCTCTCAGATCTTTTTTCTGCTGTGATTGGGTTGTGCTTTCTCTCAGGGAGAGGGAAGTTCACCTAACAAATTACTTGGTTCATTCTTAAGTTTCTGTTGACAGAGTAGTGCCTGGACATAGGTCAGGGTCTGAATCGTGTAAAAGCAAACCTCTGAAAAGCTCTAGCTTGGTGTCAAATATGCAGCTATCCAAAAAATGTAGTTTCTAGTTTAGAATATTAAGCAATAAATGTAGCAATATTTACCTGAACATCTAATGAAAATATCAAGTTTGGTTAAGGAAATGTCAGTTTTTGTATACCCGTGTAGATTGGGGAAATGTGGGCTATTTATGTGATCCTTTTTACCTTGGCCTGCAAAACTCACATTTTCCCTTAGTTCTCTGCAGAATAGAAGAACAGAAGTGAGAAAAAGCTTGTGGCTTGAGATGAGGATACCTCAGTAAATGAAGGAAGATAGAAAAAAAGAGGGGGAGAAAATGCTATGAAAGGCAGTCACTTACCGCTCTCACCAGCAGGCTGATGCTTAGCCATCTTGGAAGGACTGTCCTGAGTTGTTTTTTTTTCTGCTGAGCATGCTGTTGGATGGCATGGCGATCCCCTTGGCATTTGTCCCCTCCTGGCCTCCTGTTCACTGAGGGGTGAAGAGAGAGAAGCAGGCTGCATTCATGCTCTACCAGCAGCAGGAATGAAACACTGGTGTGTAATAAGCACTGTTTTTTGTCACCAGTCTAAAACATGGCACTATACAGGCTGCTTATGACAACGTTAACTCTATCACACCCAGTGCTGTCTAGGTTGCACTGAACCAGATACAACAGAGCTGTTCATTCTGTGTCCTATCAGGCTCCTCTGCCACCTGCAGTGTGGCCATGAAACTTGGGGAGGCCTGGGTGCTCCAGAAAGAAAGGTGGCTGCTTCGTGTTGACAAACAGGACAACTGGCATCTGAACATCCTTCTCAGCAGTCTGCCTCTGGGAGCTGAATGTCTGCACTGGTACTGCTTAAATTCTGGGTTGAATATTGACCAAAAATTGACAAAAACTACCTTTTAAAATATATAGCAGGTCCTTATTAGTTTCTGTGTTTTGGCTCAGTGCATGGGCAGAGAGTTGAGCGTTCTTCCTGCTCCTCCCATCAGCAGTTGTGAAGAATTACTATTTGTTGCTCTTTGTTGAAGAAAGTGCTGAGTTAAGTTTAAACAAATCCAATTCTTTCATGATTGCAGAGCTGAGCAAAATGTTTTAATGATTCATATATCATTATTCATTATTGTGATTTCTGACGGGGCATGAGGAAATGTCAATATTGCTGTCCCTGTTTTGGTCTCTTGTTCTACCTCTGTTTTCTTTCTTTTATTTTTTTTTTAATTCATAAATTCAGTAATAAGCTTTGATAGGGTCGAACCCTTGAGTCTCTAGACTTGCCAGCTGCCGGGTAACTTCAGTGGTAGATTTTCATCAACAAATTCCATGGGCTGTGTTGCATGGAATTGTCTTCTTAGCCTGATGCTGGCAGGCTATTAGAGATGTAATAAGGCTGTGCCGTGTTTACAGCTGAATGAGCCCATCTGTGCCTTGCACAGGGAGCTGTGTTCTGCCATGAGGCACAGTGCTGCTTACGTATGGAAGAAATGTTCAGGAGTGCTCTAATTCTGTCTTCCTCCATCCGCACTGAGGTTGTATCAGTGGCTTAGGGCCGAGGGCACCTGCCTGCTGACTCATCCTGAAGTCCATTGTTCTGAAGGCACTGTCACAGGGATCTATAGCTGAGCTTATCCAAAACTTCATGGCTGATGCTCCACGAGGGGCAAAACGTTTCCAAAGAACTTGAAGGCAGTAGCATTCAGAATGCTCAGATAGAATCAAGAATCCTTAGAGTTGGAAGGTACCTCTGAAGGCCATCTAGTCCAGCTCCCTTGCAATGAACAGGGACACCACAACTATATCAAGTTGCCCAGGGCCTGATCCAGTCTTGCCTTGAAAGTCTTTCGGGATGGGGCATCATCTACGACACTAGGTAACCTGTTCCACTGCCTCACCACCCTCACTGTAAAAGACTTTTTCCTTATATCTAACCTAAATCTACCCTCTTCGAACTTGAAACCATTTCCCTTTGTTACGTCACCACAGACCCTGCTAAAGAGTCCCTTCTTTCCTGTAGCTCCCCTTTAGATACTGAAAGGCTGCTCTCAGGTCACCTCACAGCCTTCTCTTCCATCTTTATGCCCGTCTTTATGCCTGTCTTGTTCTCTTTGATACTTCCCAAGTCTGTTTTTTTTTCCTACCATTGCACTATGGACAAAGTGCAAGAATACAAACAGAAGTCTTTGTTGGTAGCGCATAATGAACTGGGTGCTTCCTATTCAGTTTGATTGTATTGATAGGCAGCTGTCTGTCTCAAGTTATGATGGAATTGATTTACGTTATCACTAGAGAAATATTGAAATTGCATTCATGCCTGAAAGTTTTTGCACTGTTTCTATACAGTTAATGTTAATAAATGATAGTGGTTTAAACTTCAGTCTTGCTCGGTAAAGTTTATCATCTGTTGAAGTATGCAGACCTGAG